TCCTAAGAAGTGCTCAACCCGCTGCTGCCATCCTTCAGACTCCGTGTCTCCTGTCACTGGGAACCCTCAGATTTTGACTTCAAGGATCATGGCAACGTACTCGAGAGTGACCGTCATCTCCCCGCACGGTAGGTGAAAGCTGCGTGTCTCCGGACGCCACCGATTTATCAACACCGTCAGCGCCGCTGGGTTGAAAGGTGGTGTGCCTCGACGACAAACACGAGCAACGGTAGCAAGGTTCGCCAGCTTCAGGAGGGGCGTGTACCTCTCGTCGTAGACTATGGTCGTAGAGGCCTCATGTGTCATTGGCCTCAGCACATTCAAAACCTGCAAAAAAAAGACAAGCATGAAAAAGTATTAGTTCATGTCACTGTTTCATATGAATTATAGAGCAAAAGATGAACAATGCACTGTTTCATATGAATTATTGAATATACCTCTCCATTCTCGATCCTCCGAGCCCGGTGGTGCTCATCGAACCTTGAATCAAGAAGGGGGAACCGATCCATCCTGCAACATAAGGAATGCCAAAGCATTAGTATAAGTTAAAGCATGTATATGTGGTACGAAGTAACATAACAATAAAAAAACAAAAGTAAACCAATGCACTATTACACAAAGCAATTCAAGTAGCTAGCTTGGTGGATACCTGTTGTCTAAGTAGTTCAGGACATTTTCTCTTATTGTGGCCCATCTTATGGCAACCAGAGCAACGGCTCTTTTGGGTGTCCTCTACAAAATGTGTCCCAACCTTACTCGTGGTTGATCTACCTTTCGTGGCTCGGTCCATGTCCATCCTGAACCGCTTCCGCCGCCTAGGTCCTCTACTCTTCCAGAGTAAACCAAGATCAGCCACATACTTGGGGCCATCATAAGTAGGCCATTGACTCTCGTCAAGAAATGGCTCGAACTGAGGATTCCAGGTGCTCATTAGGTTCCTCAAAGAGAACTCCATGGCCATACGGGGAGGGACCTCAGCGTCAACACGTCTAAGGCGACATGCTATAATCATGTGGGAGCAAGGCCTATGGTATATGGTCGGTTTTCCACATGTACACTTGTTCTCATTGATCACTACTTTATGTTTTCGAGCACCCTGGTCTTCACCACCAATGTTAGTTCCACCACCCTCTAGAATCTCATATCCATGGTTGATCGGATCGAAACATGAACCCTTCTGTTGTTTAGACTTTTTCTTTGAGAAAGCTAGTTCCTGAGATGCTAAAAGTGGCCAAGCTTTGCCTGCTGTCCATAGAGACCTCGCATGCTTCTTCCTCGAAACGAACCAAGCATTTAACTTGTAGAAGGTGAATGAGGCAATAGCAGTCATAGGCAGACCACGACAACCTCTTAGAAGGCTATTGAACATCTCTGCCATGTTACTAGTCATGAAGCCCCATCTCCAACCTCCGATGTCATATGCAAGTGACCACTTATCCTTCGACGCCATCAACTCGCTCAAGAATTGCCTGCCATCAACATTTGTGGCTAACTTCAGGGCATCTAGCTTGTCTTTGAATAATTGAACCTCTTGCTGCCTGCAAACCTCCTCAAATAATTTGAAGTTGTCCTTTATGTGATCACGGCTTATAAGATCCTGAGCAAGGTGTCCGGTGCACCACCGGTGATGTATTTGGCCGTAACCAGGAATCTCTTGTTCTACGACATTCAGAATGCCAGCATGCCTATCGGATATCACACAAACATCATGTCCTAGACCAATTACCACTTGTCTTACTAGCCTGAGAAACCAACACCAACTATCCATGTCCTCTTTCCGAACAATCACAAAGGCCAATGGCACAAGCTGGTCTTCTGTATCTGTCCCAATACAAACAAGCATTGTGCCTTCAAATTTCCCTGTAAGAAAGGTCCCGTCAATTGAGACGACGGGCCTGCAATGCTTGAATGCTTCGATGCTCTGCCCGAACGCCCAAAAGGCCCTTCCAAATACCTAGCTACCATTCCTTGTTTCACCCTCCTTAGTTAAATACTCGAAGTGCATCCCAGAATTTATAGCCCTCATTGCGTTCAACATTACAGGGAGGCGCTCATAAGCTTCTTCCCAATTTTCAAATATTATTTCCAGTACGTGCACGCTGCTTTGCCCTCCATGCTTTTTCATACTTGACATAGTAATTGTACCGTTGGAAGATGATCTCAACCAACGCGGACACCGTAATGGTTGGCATATGCTTCACCACGGGGCATAACTGCCTTGCAATGAACCTAGAATTGAGCTGCAGATGGTTCTCTTCTGCCTCAGCAGTGGCACAAACATGTGGTTGCTTCATTGAGGTAATCTTCCATTTGCCTGCCTTCGTCTTCCTAGCACATACTCTCCAACCACACTGTTGTTCTTCACAAGCAACAGTGTACCTCTTCTCCTTGAATGAATTGACGACCCTAAAAGGTCGGTTGTGTACAATGGAGTACTCTTGCAACCATGTTTTCAACTCATCCATGGTAGCAAACAATATGCCATTCCGTATGATAAGGCAACCGCTAACATCAGGCACTGTTGTATCACTTGGCCCACCATCAGCTACTGCCCTGTGACCATGGCTAAGGTCCTCGAAATCATCAACTAGTGGATCTCTCCAAGGCAAGACCCTAGACAATATCTCTATTTCCCTAAAATTGAGACGACCAACAGGGCGATCGTCATCAGAGTCTTCGGCTATCTTCTCTACGAAGGATTCATCATCTCCAGCTATCTCCATGTCAAAACGGTTCGTATCCCTAGCATCACCAAAGTCTTCTTCACCACTAAGATCATCTTCGTCGCTAAGCTCATCCTCAATAGAAAAGTCTCCGCTAGCGTCGTCCAAACCTTCTTCTGCATCACCAATTACATAATTATCATCCTCTTCATCACTATCATGATTGCCCTCACCATCGGCAACCACATTCTCCTCCTCATCTCCACCGCCCTCAAACCTACCTCCATCACGCTCGAGCGATCCAAACTCTTCACCACCACCGTAGCCTAGTTGTGTGACAAGTATTTCTTCTTCAGACAAAGGACCATAACCTATATGAGCGGGGGAAGATGGGCATGCTTCGAAGTTATCATTTCCTAAGTCGGACTCCTTACTTACTACTAAATCTAAAGATCGCACTTCTGAGAACAATACAACTGCCTTGTAATCATTCCATTCAGACTCGCTTGTAATTTTGAGCAACCGCTTGATCCGAGGACCCTTCGACGACCCAACATCTATGACACCTTCAAACTGAACATGCACATCTCCTTCATTCCAGCCTAACTTAACCTTCACTCGCTCCACTAACTGGGTCAAAAATGGTGTTTCAGAAAAAATCAACAACTCCTCACACATGTCTAGAAATTCCAAACTATCATCTCTTATCCTAACAATACGGCCTACATGATGCAACCTCACTAATTTATCCATCTACAGCCATCATACAACAAGTAGTGTCACATATCAATATATCATGCGAGTTTTAATCCAATAAGTAGAAACTAAAATATATCATTTCATCTTTTTCAACCCCAACAACATAATCATTTCTAGTCATAAAAAAATAAAATCTAATGACCAACAAATAACTAAAATACATACTAACCCTAATAACCAACAAATAACTAACCCTAATAACACCTATAATAAACAAAGAACCCTAATGACCAAAATAACTAGAAACCAAACTAACCTAACATGTTCAACACATAAAACAGTTAAATAACAATGCACTCAATCAACCTAAGCCATACATTTTGCAAATGCAAATACACATATACCAAAACACCATATACCCATGATTCCACATGATTAGAGATAATGCAAGCACATCTACGCAGATAGATTGGAGGAGGGGAGGGACCATTACCTCGAGGAAGCTTCGGGAGACGAGATCCGGACACCTAGGGTCGCATTTGGGGGTTAGGGTTTCGTGGGGGCCGTAGGGGGAGACGAACAGAGAGCCGACGCGGCTTCAAGAGTCCAGACCTCGGCGTTGAGTCGAGCCGCGCCGAGTCTGGTGGCTCGGCGTTAAGTGACCTCGCGCCGAGCTATTGGGCCACGAAGCGTTGTTGGGCCGCCTGGGCCGCGCGCCGGATGGTGCCAATAGCTCGGCGTGTAGTCCCACCGCGCCGATGTTGGGCCTGTGGCGTTGGCTGACACAACGCCGACGTGTCGGACCCCATGCGCCATCGTGTCGCCATCGACCGGGGTCGTCCGTGACGTGGCAAGACCTCGGCGTCGTGTCAGTCGACGCCGACCCTCGTACCTTGGCGTCATGTTCTAAGACGCCTAAAAAATGATCTATTTTCAGCAAATGTTTTGGCATAGGTTTTTTTGTAAAAAATATTTTTAAAAAGGACCAAAATGCAAAAATTTGACATCACGTATCCACGGCACCACCCTCCGCCGTCGGCTGTAGGCGTGTAGCCGCGCGTAGGCTTGTCTTTTTCGCCACTCTATTTCTCTTCTACAAAGTGGGCCCCGCTGCCAGTACCAAGGTTCGAGAAGATCAGTACAAGAGGATCGATCGAATCCCCCGGAGCACGACGTTTTCCGCTCATCGTGCGCCCCTTTCGAAGTAGCCAACCCCTCTGCTCCACTCGTGCCGCCGACGGGTGGGACCAGTAAAACTCCGGGCCCGCGTGTCATAGGCAAAGCACGGCCTCTGGCTGGGCCGCCGTAGCCGGGGAGGAAACGGCTGGCTCCTGCTCGTGCTCCGGCCGCTTCTTTCCAAGCGCGAGCAAACGACGCGAGGCCGTTCGCGCGAGCGAGGCCTGGGCTCCGTCACGCCGTCCCCGCCGTGATCCGCTTGGCCACACTCGCCAGGTACACAACAAACTCACACACTCCCCACTCTACCAGTCGCCACTCTACCCTCCTCACTCGCCAGTCGCCACTCTACCGCTGCCCACCTGCCCACCGCGTGCGTTGCGCTCCCGTGCGGCACCGGCGGCGCGACCCCGTTGGACGAGCTTCCGCCCCGATCGATCGACCACCGATCCCGCCGCGGCCATGTCGTCGGCGGCCGTGTCGTCCGCTTCCTCCAGCTTCTTCCTCGCGCTCGCCTCCGCCTCCCCCGGGGGCCGCAGGCGGACCTCTGCAGGCTCCCCGCCGTTCCACACCGGCGCCGGTCCGAATTTCGCGTTCTGGCGGGCGCCGCCGCCGCACGCCCCCCGGCACGCGGCGCTGGTGCGCGCGGAGGCTGAGGCCGGGGGCAAGGACGCGCCGCCGGAGAGGAGTAGTGGCGACACCGCCAGCAGGTTGCCCCGCGCTCGGCGCAAGGCGGTTAGTTGGTCGACGCCTATCTTCTACTATCTATACCCCCTCGATTTGGATCACTGTTTGTTTTCGGAAACCGACGTGCGTTGCATTCATGCGCAGGTCTCCAAACGGAGGGATCCTCTTCAGCCGGTCGGCCGTTACGGCTCCGGGACGGGAAACACGGCCAGCAGGAGCGGCGCCGCGTCCATCCAGAACGCCGCGTTGGCGGCCGTTGAGATCAAGTCCATCGTCGCCGCGCCGCCGACGAGCATAGTCAAGTTCCCAGCCCCGGGCTATAGGGTGATCCTTCCCTCTGGGGACATAGTGCCGGAGACTGTCCTCCCAGTCCCGAAGCCGCTTCTGCATGAATCGCCTGGGGCAAACTCCGTGCGGCCGGCTTCCATTCCCAATCTTGACGACACCGATGGTAATGTTGAACTTGCTGAAAAGAAACCTGCACATGTTGACGGGGATTCAAATGGAGTTGCTGCACCTCCTCCAGCTGAGCCAGTAGTACAGGAAGTCACTTGGGATTTCAAGAAATACATCGGTTTTGACGAGCCTGTGGAAGCGAAGGATGATTCCAGGGTTGCTGCAGATGGTGCTGGTTCTTTTGAACACTACGAGAACAATGATTCTGGGCCTTTGGCCGGGGAGAATGTCATGAACGTGATCATGGTGGCTGCTGAATGTTCTCCATGGTGCAAAACAGGCAAGGACTCTTTGTGGATTCTTTCAGAAGTGCTTTTCATTTCAGTTTCCCTGAGTTACTGGTGTGAGCAATTATTGAATATTTTTAGGTGGCCTTGGAGATGTTGTGGGAGCTTTACCCAAGGCTTTAGCAAGAAGAGGACATCGTGTTATGGTAGTACACTTTCCCTTCTGTTTTCTTTTGGTTTCATGTTTTTTCATCATCTTACATATATGGTGAATCTATAAGTTGACAACTTGAGTGGCTCATAGTTGGATACTTGGATCTCATGAGATGCAAGGTGTTGAATCCACGTAAAAAACAAGATCTGACAGTGTCATTCCTATCCTTAGATAATAATCATCTGAAACCCTGATCGTACAAAAGTTTAGCACGATTAGATGTCTTGTCAGAAAACATTGCTTGAGGTAGCATTTGTGTTACATAGCTAACTATAAAACATCACAGCCACATATTGCGAATTTTGAATCAGGTATCCTGATGAGTATCTTAGATGGTTTGATCTAACACTATGAGGCATGCTTGTTTCAATCCTTAGGTTGTGGTACCAAGGTATGGGGACTATGTGGAAGCCTTCGATATGGGAATCCGGAAATACTACAAAGCTGCAGGACAGGTATGTGTAAACCTCTAGATAAAAGGGAACTTGACATAGGAAAGGCCAAGGCCTAAACTTGCAATATATTCAATTTAATTGCCTTTTTTTAGCATACATTGCCTTTTCTTTTTGGAACTGCTTTTAAGAAAGCAAAAGAACTTGGTACAACTGTTTAGCTGGGGATTCCAGAGTCAAAATAAAGCAAAACATCCTGAATCCAGATAAGCATCTTGTCCTATTACATCATTAGATTTCCATGATTTTGACAAAAGTTCTTTGCAGGCTAGTATGCACTTTCTAATGGAGTCAATTTTGGCTTTTGTTTATTTTCAAACGATTATTAGCTTTTGTTTTTTGGTTTCAAAAAAAAAATAGCTTTTGTTTTGACTTGCAGGACTTAGAAGTGAACTATTTCCATGCATTTATCGATGGAGTCGATTTTGTGTTCATTGATGCACCTCTTTTCCGGCACCATCAAGATGACATATATGGGGGAAGTAGACAGGTGAAGCTTCTATCTTTCAATTGATTTTTCACAATTCACTTTCACTGCACTTCTAATCTAACCAAAGCCATAGCCTATTGATTGAGATAAGAATTCCCATTTTATTTCAGGAAATTTTGAAGCGCATGATTTTGTTCTGCAAGGTTGCTGTTGAGGTATCCCCCTGACTGTGAACCAATTTGAAAATATCTTAATTTTGTGGGTTTCAGACATGTTGGTTGTTTCATGCAAAGTGTGGCATAAGTAAATCCAAATATAACCAAACGTTCTATGATTGGGCTGCTGGGATCAACTTTTGCACTAGCGGATATTTTATTATCTTGATTTCTCCCTACTCATGTTACTGTTGTTCTTCAATTGGCATGTTCTTCTATATTCTGTACCTGAATATTGTTCTGTTATATATGTGACTACTCCATAACCTGCAGGTTCCTTGGCACGTTCCATGTGGCGGTGTGTGCTACGGAGATGGAAATTTGGTGTTCATTGCCAATGATTGGCACACTGCACTCCTGCCTGTTTATCTGAAGGCATATTACAGAGACCATGGGTTAATGCAGTACACTCGCTCCATTCTTGTCATACATAACATCGCTCACCAGGTTGTTTCCTTCTCCTAATCATGAATCTGCTGTGCCACTGCTTTTTTTTCTATAGAAATTAAGATGGTTTAATTCTGATCGTGGCACATTGCTCTGTTGGTCAATTGTTTCTTTCAGATTTGCAGTCCAACATTGATCCAGAATTCACTGTCCTGCGTCCTAACGGCTTCCCTCTTGTTTGCAGGGTCGTGGTCCTGTAGCTGAATTCCCGTACATGGACTTGCCTGAACACTACCTCCAACATTTCGAGCTGTACGATCCCGTCGGTGGTGAGCATGCCAACATCTTTGCCGCGGGTCTGAAGATGGCAGACCGGGTGATCACGGTCAGCCGCGGCTACCTGTGGGAGCTGAAGACAGTGGAAGGCGGCTGGGGCCTCCACGACATCATCCGTTCCAACGACTGGAAGATCAATGGCATCGTGAACGGCATCGACCACCAGGAGTGGAACCCCAAGGTGGACGTGCACCTGCGGTCGGACGGCTACACCAACTACTCCCTCCAGACACTGGACGCTGGAAAGCGGCAGTGCAAGGCGGCGCTGCAGCGGGAGCTGGGCCTGGAAGTGCGCGACGACGTGCCGCTGCTCGGCTTCATCGGGCGCCTGGACGGACAGAAGGGCGTGGACATCATCGGGGACGCGATGCCGTGGATCGCGGGGCAGGACGTGCAGCTGGTGATGCTGGGCACCGGGCGCGCCGACCTGGAGCGGATGCTGCAGCACTTCGAGCGGGAGCATCCCAACAAGGTGCGCGGGTGGGTCGGGTTCTCGGTGCCCATGGCGCACCGCATCACCGCGGGCGCCGACGTGCTGGTGATGCCCTCCCGGTTCGAGCCCTGCGGGCTGAACCAGCTCTACGCGATGGCGTACGGCACCGTCCCCGTGGTTCACGCCGTGGGCGGGCTCAGGGACACCGTGGCGCCGTTCGACCCGTTCGGCGACGCCGGGCTGGGGTGGACTTTCGACCGTGCCGAGGCCAACAAGCTGATCGAGGCGCTCAGGCACTGCCTCGACACGTACCGGAACTACGGGGAGAGCTGGAGGAGTATCCAGGCGCGCGGCATGGCGCAGAACCTCAGCTGGGACCACGCGGCTGAGCTCTACGAGGACGTCCTAGTGAAGGCCAAGTACCAGTGGTGAACCCTCCGGCCTCCGCATCGCATCGATATGTCGAGCAACTTCTGGTCGTGTGGTTTTAATACTTCGGTTTGATCAATTGTGCATTGCGCATTCGACGGTCTCGGTGAAGAACACTTCATATGCAGTGTCGCGCCGCTGGGGGTTGGTGCGTGGTCAGAGGTGGCACTGGCAGCGTGACTGAGAGTGAGAGGTAGTAGTACATGTGAATGTACTGAGCTGTGTGCTGTCGAGTTCCGACTGGATTCGTACTTTTGTAGCGCAGTAGTGGAGCTTGGAACGCCAACTCAGTAAATGAAGCTACTACGGCCATGTTTAGTAAAGCTTATTTGGGGTGTAAAAATGATGATTAAAATAAGCTAGTCTGATTTAGTTTCTGTTTTTTTAGTATATTTAGGTAGCGTGCCTGTGCGTTGCTACGGAATAACTAATAATTTATACTAAAAACATACGGATCACACGATAAGATAACAATACTGTTAAATTAAATATCAATGTTAAAGTAACATTTAATTCAAAAAGCAAAGTTTATGAATTTAATATAATCACAGAGTGCGTGGCGTCGCAGGCTCACAAACTCTAGAGCTTCTAGAGATTAGGTCAAATCCAACCTAGAGTCTCGGAACCCTGCATCTTTCCTGGACGTGCTTCACTTCGGATGCGCCGGTAGCAATATCAACGATCTTCAGTCGATGGACCAAGTCGTATGGATCCTCATACAATGGTTCAGACACGTAGATTTTGTTCTCCTTGTACTTGGATACACTTGTTCCACTAAAACTTTCGTTGAAATGTTTAGACACGAACAATATCTGATCACCGATGTCCCTCACCCTGGACCACTCCGGCGTACGATCGTGGAGGATGCACTTGTAGATCGCGCTGCTGTAGGTGAAGCTCCGTGTCTCGTGGAACGTGCTCACCATGGCACCCACAATGTGTAGCTCACCATTTGATTCTAGGTAGCTGCGGTGGCAGAGCCCCGCAGGTGGCGACAGCGATGGCAGCAGCGTCGCGGTTGGAGTAGCGCCGACGGCGTTGCTGCTGCAGACGAAGATTTCTCTAGTGCAGTCGATCGCCAAGAACTTGTCTTGGCAGTGGACGATGGACCCCACGGAGAACTCCAGTTTGGTGTCGAGCAGCGTCCATGTGATGTCGACTCCAACCCGGTAGAACGCGACCTCCGTGGAGCACCCAAGCATGGCCATGGCCACGCACTCGCGGCCAGCGGCGTCAGGCGGCGCTGAGAGCACGATCTCACGGAAGAACACGTCCCTCATGTCTTCTAGCTTGATGGCTCTGCCTACGGCATCCGCGTCCCCGTAGCCGTTGGTGGGATGGAGGACTCACCGGCCGTGGACCCTAGACATGCGAAAAGGATCAAGATGTCCAAGATAGGGGTGAATTGGGCTAATTCTAATTTTTTTTGCAATAATTAAACCCTACGGTTAGCCCAATTAACCTCTTGTGCCTAGAAAGTGTTTCTATTGATCTACCGCACAAAAGTTTAGCAACCTATGTTCCAATCGTACTCTAGCATGGCAATTCTATGAATGTAAATGACAAGAATTGAATTGCTCAAAGTAAATGCTCAAAGTAAAGAGAGAAGGAGGAACGCGGCCATGTTTTGCCGAGGTATCGGAGAGTCGCCACTCCCCACTAGTCCTCGTTGGAGCACCCGCGCAAGGGTGTAGCTTCCCCTTGATCCCCACAAGGATCAAGTGCTCTCTACGGGTTGATTCTTTGACACTCCATCACGGTGAATCACCCACAACCGCTCATAACTTGAGTTGGGCCATCCACAAGCTCCGCCGGATGATCACCAAGCTCCCAATCACCACCAAGCCATTTAGGTGATGGCGATCACCAAGAGTAACAAGCACGAACTCTCACTTGACCACAACAAGCCTAATGAGAAGGGTGGATGCACACTTTGCTACTCTTGTTTTCACTAATGAGGGCTCTCTTTGGGATTCTCAAATCTCAATCACCTCACTAGGACCTTACTCTTTTTGGCACTCTCAAGGGTGTTTCTCAGCTGTTGAAATGAGCAAAAGTACCCCCTCACACGAATGGAGGAAGTATTTATACACCCGGTTGAAAAACGAACCGTTATGTGCCTCTACGGGGTGACCGGACGCTCCGGTCAGTTCACCCCGAAACCCAATGTTTAAGTTGTGACCGGACGCGTCCGGTCACGATTTTTCCTCTCTGGAACCTTACTGGAGTCGACCGGACACTGGCACCCAGCGTCCGATCGCTTACCTCTTAGCGTCCGGTCGCCCCAGACGAAATCACCTTGATCAAATGAACTGACGGGACTCTGCCTCAGCATCCGGTCAGCATTTGACCCTCCATTCACTTCCAACTCTCAATCATACATGAATGAAGTTTGCTTCAATTGATCTAAGGGCTTTTTAGGAGCTACCTAGTGCTAGATTTAACAAGTGTGCACCACACCTAACTCACTAGACTCACCTAGGTCAAGCTACCCGTCTATACCCTCCTTAATAGTACGGCCAAAGTAAAAAGCAAAGTCCTAAACTATTCTAAGTGTCTCTTCAACACCAAATGACACTCAGAACTAGTCCATCCTTAACCTTGTCGTCCATCCTTTGAAAACCAAAATGATTTCCATCGTAGGGGCATGACAACCATGTTTGCCCAATCAATCTCTATTACCATGACCTAACTTAATTGCCTCTGCAAAACACATGTTAGTCACAATAATCACGCATTGTCATTAATCACCGAAACCTAACTAGGGGCCTAGATGCTTTCAATCTCCCCTTTTTTGGTGATTGATGACAATACCACCTCGAGTATGTAAAAGAGTTGAGGTTTTTAACATGCTTGGATCATATAAGCTTTTGACAATAAGAACAAAAGAGTTAGGCAAGCTTATATGACCCAAGCCAACATGATGTACTCAATAGATATGAAATAAGCATAAGTACAAGTAATAAAGCTCATTTGCATCGGAGTAAAACACGAAAGCAAAGCAAATGAGCATAACACAAATGATATGACATATAAATAATTCAAAGTAGAGAGCACACATGTCACATATCACATAATATCACGATCACGTAGATATCACTATCACATAAATATAGTTTAATGCATGAAAGTAAACACATGAATGCATAATAGTGTATCACACATAAAAAACCAAATATGATAGATAAACTCCCCCTAAATATGTCGCTCCCCCTAAGTCTAGCATACTCGATCCCTCTCCCCCTTTGGCGTCAAACACCAAAACATAAGGGTCGGTCGGTGGGGCTGCAGCGGACGAGCCGAGCGCTAAGGTACGAGGAGTGAGCTGGAACTGTGTGCCATCATCATCTGATCTTGAGCTCTGAGTTGTCTGACCCTCTATAGCTGGCAGCGACGCTGAAGCGGTCTGGGTCGGATCAGGGACTGGAGCGGCCTGAGACTCTGCAGGTATGACTAAAGCAGGCGGCTCTGATGATGCAACTGAAGAAGGGAGCGTCTCTGTAGTCTCGGTAATAGGTGCAACTGTGGAAGGACCTGGGACATGTAGATATGGCGGAGTAGGCTGCCCTGTCAACTCACTAAATGTCGCTCCAAGGCTCCTAGAGACTGAAGTATCTGGCACTAGCAGCGAGGAAGTCTGAGCCGGTGTGAAACCCATCTGAAAAGGTGTGAACTGCGGGGCTGGCACTGGTGAGGCAAACCACTAGGACACCTGCTCTGTAGGTGAAGTAAACTATGTTGGTGGCTGTCCCTGACTCTAAAGCCCACTGGGCTATAAAGCTGGAGTCGTAGAAGTGGTGGTAGGCTAGCCGATCTGGGGTGAAGGCTGTGGCGGTGGAGCCCCAATAGCTGTCACAACATGCTACATAAATCCGAGGAGCTGCTACTGCATGAGGAGTTGCTGCTGATGCATGGCCTGCTGCTGCTGCTGCTGTATAGCCTACTGCTGTTACTGGAACTCATCCTGCCTAGTTTGAAACTGTGCAAATGTAGCAGCGGTCTCTTGAGCCTGTCGAGCCTGATCCTGCCTCATCCGCTCAAGTATAGCAAGTAGAGCGGGGTCTGTCTGCGGTGTAGGTGGAGCTGAACTGGAGCTACCGGCTTCATGGTCATGTCATCGAGGAGGCATCTGAGGGATATCCCAGTAGTCATCATCTGAGCTGTCGCTAGGGTCGCTCTCGACCATCCCCTCCTGCTGAGCATCTAACTACTCCTCTATAGCTGCTATGCCCTTGATGGTCTTATCCAGCTGGGCTATAGTCTCAGGCACCTATGGACGATGACGCGGCTGGCTAGGTGTCCTCACTACACTATGGTGGATCATCTGAGTCATGTTGTATGCAGGAAACTCTGTAGTAGCACCACTATACTCTACCAGCATCTTAGGTGGCCTCACAGTAACTGCCCTGTGGATCAAGAATGTAATTCAGTGAGCATATGGCAGCTGCCTATAACCCCTGAACCCCTCTACAATAGTATCCTCCATCTCTGATAGAAGGAGATCCCAAATGTCAAACACAGTCTGCTGCATCAGAGAGTTCAGTAGCCATAACTATATACGAGTCAAGCCCTCGTGATACCCCATCCTCGGAAGTAGGGTCCTCCTCATAATAGCATCAAGCACTCTAGCTGTAGGAGTGAGATCACTGGGTGTCCTGCTCGACCCCTCGCCGAATGGCACTGTGAAGTAATGGCGAACCAAATCTGTAGGAGGCACCAAACCGCCATGTGGACGTCTGGGAGACGCTGTCTGTCCATAGCAAACCTCATGTAGCCGGATGGGCTGCTCCTGAAGCCTAAGAATCTCTCTGACCCTAAAGCTCATCAGCCTATAATCTCCGCCTCTGAAAGCAAACTGAATGAATCTGTGCTGTGGGTCAATCCAAAGTGTAGCGTAGAACTCACGGACCCAAGATAGAACATATAAGCCTATCCATCCGAGTAAGTCTGTCAGCCCTGGCAAGTAAGATAGGTAAGGGCGAATATGCTCTCCAGCTGCTGCT